AAAGACTGGTGTTGAGATAAGTGAAAAGAGGTACAGGAATGTGGGGGACATGTCTGACCTCTTGGGAACTGGTTTGGTGTTATTCATGCTATTGACAGGGACAGTTCTTCTTTGTGAAGTTAGTAAAGGTCAGATATGGCTGTCCCCATGTGGATCTTACTCTTTTTACAGTGGCTTAAAGAGGATATGGAAAGATGTAAAATGGTCACTGGTCATTAGAAATTATCAGAGAACCATCAGATTAAAAAAGTCAATTCCAAAAGCTTTATTATTTTGATGATTTATAAAAACACCATCAACATAGTAATTAAAAGTTATTTATAAGTTTAAAAAGAAATTTACATAAATGTATTCACATTATATTACAGTGAACTGTTTTCTTAGTTAAAAATGTTACAGGTAGTGTTGAAAAAACATAGAATGCAAGCCACATTGTGAATCACTTGGATGTCTTCAGAGAATGATCAAGAATGAAGATGGCCCAGGAAATAACTAGAAACATTGATTTCAGCTACCAGTAGTAAAGATTATGGCCTTGGTCTTAGGTGATATGGCCCTTTAAAAGTCACTTTATACTTAAGCTTACATGAAGACAGAGTGAAGTGAGGAGATTTAAATATTTTTTTTTTCCTGGCGTGGCTTCAAAATTACAGGAGTCATATTTATACTCTGTTCCACGTGAAGCTAGTTTAAGTCAAGGATGATACTACTTGTGATTAACTGGGCATTACACTTCTTTTGCAAGCTACATCAGAATTGGTGTTCCTGTTCACTGGGATTGCAGGATCACAGCTGTGGACTCCTTGCTCCGGCCTCTCTGGGTGTTTTATCTACTTGCTTTGTTTTTTTTATTATTTTTTTTGTGTGCGTGTACCATCAAATCAGATCTGACTGGTACAGGAGGAGATTGCCCCTCCCTCCCCGGCAGAGCATCTGGTGGATTCGAACCGTGCACCTCTGGGATTGTACTTGCAGCTTCTTGCCACTACTTGTTAACAGCCCTGGGCAGCAGCATCATCCTCTAAAGACAGGGCGTTGACCCTGGTCTTGGAGGCTGCCTCTGATAAATGCTGGGCACTTGGTCCGTGAAGCCAGGGAGGGAATGTCTGGCAGCTGCCTGGGCATGCTTCCCTTAGTCCAGCTGCCAACATAAATTATACAGTGGCCGGCAGCTCCAGCGAGATGCTAAAGTTTCAGACTTAAATGTCAAGGATAGTTAATGACAGATGAGTTTTTGAAGGAGGTAGGACAAGAACAACTATTTACTGAGACCTGAGAATTCTTTTCTACCTTAAATCAGCAAAGGTATGGGAGGATCCCTTCTTCTCATTCCCTTATGTATGGCCTTTAAAAATAAATAGAATTTCTACCTCATGTTGCCTGATTTGCAATCAGGCATGTAAACCTAAAATATAAATTACAGCAGGTATATTATCAGTAATTAAAAATAGCTACTGTTACTTAACTGGCAACTAATATCATTTCATGATTATAATCCTTAAAACTTAGTACAAGTATAATTTTTTGGTATATAGAATTATGGTGTACACATTAAAATATTAAAGGCACTTTTCCAGGTTACATGATTAAATACAAGTATATCAATAAAGATCAACTACTTATTGGTTTCTTCAGTTTCTGTGTCCATGGTAATGACTAAGAGCCCAATTTTGTACTTCACCTTTGCCAAACAGTGTAAAGAAAATTGCACCAAATACATTAATAGCAGCAGCAATAAAGAAGACAGTTTGCCATTCTGTAATAGTGTTCTAGAAAGAGAGAAAGAGAAAAAAAATGCAGATAAAAACAGTGCAGTCCACTTTATAACAAAGATGAGTGTCACTAGGCTGTTATGGTCCCACTATTCATAGGAGCCCCATACCAGAAACAAAGCAATGTTTATCAACGTTTATCAGCAAAACGGTGGTATATTTGCTCGATATCATACTAAGAATGCGTGAACTATAACAACATAGATATATCTCACAAAATACTGAGCAAAAGAAGCCAGAGAGCAGAGAGTACAAATGAAATGATTCCAATTTGTATAAAATTTGAAATCAGATATGACTTGGCATTAAAGTCATTACTCTGAGTGGATGTTTCTTGAAGGAGATGATATTCTTTGTCTTGACTTGATATTGATTATACAGATGTGCTAACTTTTTGAAAATTCATTAAGCTGTACCTGTAGGATTTGTGTGTTTTAAAAAGGACATTGCTAATTCTTCATAAAAAGTTTACTAATATTGGTTAGAATCCACCAGATGCTCTGCTGGAGAAGGAGGGTCAATCTCTTGTACCAGTTGGATCTGACTCGATGGTATACACACACAAAATAATAAAAATTTTTTAAAAAGTTTACTAATATTACAATAGGAAGCATGTTTCTGAAGTCTATGCTACTGCCATTGCTGTTGTTATGTGGTGTCAAGTCGACAATGGCCCATAATGGCATATTAAACAGGACAGGCATGGGGACTTGCCAATAAGAGACTTCCAAAACACAACTGGTTAGTGTAGTCTTCAACAGTATAAAAACATTAGGCAACTGCCCAGACATATTATTTTTCCTTTAAAACAAAAATTCTACTGGTTATTAGTGAATGCTGTTTTGTCTGTAGTAAAATTGAACACTGTATTTTAATGACTTTACTCACTCCTCACTCTATTTATTCACTCTGACTCATTCTGCCAAGTTTTGGAGGCAATGTGGTAAATTTTAATTGTAAAGGCAAATATACTTTTCTTTTTCTATAAGTATCTCTTTAAAGTATCCTTTTTCTATTCATTAAAGTCTCTAGCTTTTTTTTTTTAAGTCTCTAGCTTTTTGTTACCTTAAAGATTTCAGAAGAAAATACATTCAGAATAAAATTCTGAATGAAAATATACTCAACTCAGACACATATATGCAGCTCCGCCATTTAGGAGTAAATTATTTACTTACATGAGGAGTCAGGCTTTTAGCAATGACAGGTCCAATCATTCCCGGAATGGTGGCAAATGTATTTGTGATGCCCAGGAGTATACCAGCATACCTGCAGGAACATTTTCACAGAAGTTTATTGTTCTGTTACACATTTAAGTAGCTTTTCTCAGCAGTTGTGCTACTGATTGGCTGTGTGAGATTGTTGTGTCTAAATGAAATTTCTTATTAGAATGTGTTGTTTCTATGCACTTTTGAGTTGAAACTGACTCAGCTGAACCTCCATGGGTTTTTTTTTCTGAGACAGTTTAATGGATTTAAATAATGTGCCTTTGGGGCTGTAGCACAGATTCTTATCACAAGGCCACCAGGGCTCCCTAGATATTTAGTTGAGGGAAAACTTGCATTTCAAAAATTAATTTGCTTTCTAACATTATAAAGGGTACTTAGCCATCTGACACTCTTCTTTTATATATCTTATGGCCCTTATATACTGATACAGAATAGAGCTGAAACATGATTTGAATATATATCTGGTTCATAGATATAAAAAAAATAATTCAAATCAAGATCTAATAATAAAATACATACCTGGAAATTATAGTTTATAAGGTTTTTAATTTATAGGTTCCTCCATGACTTTTCAAAATCAAAGGCATCAATTCTTCTTCTGTCATCAACTGATCAATGAATTGATGCCTTTGAGCTGTGGTGTTGGAGAGGAGCACTGAACATCCCATGGACAGCCAAAAGAACAAACATATATATCTTGGAGAGGGTGCAGCCAGAGTGCTCTTTGGAGATAAAGATGGTGAGGCTTTGCCTCACATACTTTGGGCACACTGCTAGGAGGCAATATGGAGAGGGCCATGATGTTCAGAAAGGTGGAGGGGTAGAGGAAGACCCTCGACCAGGTGGACTGACACACTGAATGCTGCAATGGGCTCTAATGTGTCAGGAAGTGTGAGGATGGCAACAGGATAGGATAGGGTTCAGATCTGTTGTTCAAAGAGTTGCTATGGATCACAATTGACTCAATGGCACCTAACAACAACAACAACAATGACTTTTAATTTCTTTTGGAAATAACTGTAGATTCACATGCAGCTATAAGAAGTAATAGCTTCTTATAGTAATAGCTTCTTATAAGTAATAGCTTCCTTCAGTGTTAGCATTTTGTAAAACCAATATCACACTGAGGATACTGACAGTGACATTGCTACAATTCATTCTCACTCAGATGTGCCCAGTTTTACTGATCTCCTGTATGTATTATATATTCTACTATGCTATAAGAGAGCCCCGATGGCCTAGTGATAAGAAGCCATGCTGCAATCTCAAAGGCATGTGGTTCAAATCCACCAGCTGCTCCACAGGAGAAGGATTGGAAATCTCTCCTGTGCAATTTATTGCTTCTGAAAATCCGCTGGAGGGTCAGATATGGGTCAGTTCTGACTCAATAGCACTCAACAATAACTATGGTTTGGTGGGAAAAAGATAGGCAATCTCCTCTCATGTGATTGAAAGCCTATGAAAACATGCTGGAAAGGTGAGTTCTGAGTTAGTTCTCTCTGGATGGCACATCACACCAGCACCACCACTGGACTATGCTCTGGTAGCATAGTCTGTAGGGAGTTACACTCTTAACCCAAAGACTTCACCTCTTCGGTGGTTTGAATGCACCACTGCTTCTGAGAGAGAAAGATAGGCAATTACACACTCAGAAACCTGCTGGGGGATCCACTGAGTTAGTTCTGACTTCATGCAATGAGAAAGCTTGAAGGAGACACTATATATATCATCATATAGACTATTATGTATGTGGAGGGACCTCTGTGAAGAAGTCCATAGGGAGCTGAACTTCCAACCTAAAGGCAGAGCCTCTTCTATAGAAAGATGCGTGGTCTCCTCCTGTGTGATTCACAGCCACTGAAGGGTATGAGTTGGTTCTAACTTGGTGGCAAAGAGAGTGTGTGAGAGTGGTTACAGTGGGTATACACACATATGTAAGGAGTTAAAGTGCAGAGTATATTGAAATGAACATAATTGGTATACATTTGTATCACTTCTGTAGGTTTGTGTATTCAACACCAGTTAAAAACATTTCTAATAATAAGGATTTCACATCTTGGCCTTTTATAACCAAACTCACCCCCTTCTATCGTCTGCCTACCACTAATCTGTCCTCCATTTCTAACATCGTGCCATTTCAAAAATCTTTCTAGATGGATATGGTCCAGTGGTGATTTTCCCCCCAGTGGTGATTAATTTTATAAAATGTAATGCATGGAAATGATTGTTTGAAATACAATGTGAATGAAGAATAGTGTGAAACAAAATGTATACAAACTTTGTAAAAACCAATTTAAAAAATGACTATAAATAGAATCAAACATTAGGTAATTTTAAAAAAAAATATTATTTTTTGTGTGTGTACCATCAAATTGAATCTGACTGGTACAAGAGGAGATTGCCCCTCCTTCTCCAGCAGAGCATCTGGTGAATTCAAACTGTACACCTCTGGGATTGCAGTGCAGCTTCTTGCCACTAGGCCACCAGAGCTTCCTTCAAACATTAGGTCATCTTTGGGTTACATACATGCATGGATGAGGATTATTTCAAGTTGTGTGCATCAACAGTTCATTACATTTATTTCTTTTTCCTTTTAAAGGAAGAAACCTGGATGTTTTTTCCTGGAGTATTTTTACGTAACTGGGATCCCTGAGATATTATTTAACATCATCTATTACCCCCAGTGAAACTTGTACATTCATAGATCTAGACTCTAAATCCCAATGGGTTCATTATATTTATTTGATATTTTTGGCAAGAAAACATGAAAAGTGATGGTGCAGTTTCACTAAAAAATCTTTCATTGACTAAATGGCATTTGTTAATTTTTCTTTCTTTAAAAAGTCACTGATGTACGTACAAAGTCCAATTGAAAATGCCATTTACTTCACTCACTAGTTTTTATAAGTAAACAATTAAGTCCCAATGCTAACTGAAGTGAGTAGAGATGACAAGGAAGGCACAGGGGCAGGGGTAAGACTGGTAATTCGTAGGGTTACTAGGAAACTTGGTTGACTTGATGGCACCCAGGCCTGGTGGTCTGTTTTTAAAAGATCACAGCCCTGAAAACCCTCTGGGGCAGCTCTTCCCCAGCACACACAGGATCTCTGAGAGCTGGAATCAGCTCCAGCTGGAGGCAACTAACCACAACATAATCTTATGTAATATCTACTTAGGTTTAGGACCCTCAGTGCACATTGTAAACTACTGATCTGAAATCTCTCTTCCCAATTTAGATCTAGGAAGGTGTTTAAATTTAACATATGTATACAAGAAATAAAAACAAAACCAAGAGGAACAGATTTGGCTTTCCAATATCTCTTAAATTAACCAAGCTTGGCAGGCTTTATCCTGGTGTTGGTTTGTTTTTGTGTGTGTGTGTTTTTTTTAAAAAATAAAAGCATTCACACCTTAGCAGTAGGAGCAAGTAGCTGTAATGTTAGAAGCCCTTTTCAGGGACAGACACTAAGCACAGATGAATGCTGTGAAATTCAAATGTCAGCACCAAGAAGCTCATTCAGGTATTTATATTACACTTGGCCAGGATGGGCCATGAAAGATTAATGACTGCCTGGAACCGAACATGTACAAACTTAGTCAGGATTCTGTGCTGCATCTTGTGGGATTAATGAGTGAAAATGCATCCAATTTCCTTGAGTCTGGGCAACAAAATAGTAGAACATGTCTAATTTACTCCATCAAAATACTACATGTACACTTAATAGGGATATTGGCTAATATCCCTTAATAGGGTTACTGGCTGACATTACCACAGTTACTGAGTGTTTACTCAAAAGCCTGTAGCAGGCACAGATCTAGGTACTTTATATATATTATCCCATTTTAATAGTAAAGTAAGCCCCATGAGGTAAAGGATTATTATCTTCCCAGAATAAATAAAGAAAGACTTAATAAGGTTATCTATTTTGTTTGATGCTAAAAAAACCCAGTATATTTCATATTATAAAATCTTATAATCAATATAATGATTTATTGTTAAAAACACAGTAATTTTTGAATTCAATCTGCAGTAAAGATCAATTTTCTCATGCTTGATTTTCTGCAACCACAGTTCTGAAAGTTTACGGATTTGTGTTCCTTAAGTGTTCTTGCTCTAATTAATAATGTTCTCCATTGAATGGGCACTGAGTTGTTACCAAAGCAACTAGAAAAAGTAGCTAAACGACACACAGTCAAAAGTTATATAACCCCTCTCCTACTCCCCAGTTAAGTGGGACACAAAGGAACTCCCCACTGACAATGCGAAAAGTCCACATTCATTGTGTCTCCACTGTTATTGTCCACTCAAAGTCAGCATTAACAAGGCTATTGAAAAGGAAAAAAAAAAACCCCACCAAAAAACAACCAAAACTCAAAAGGAAATAAAAAAAACTCCCTTTAGTGCTACTGAGTCAGTTCCAACTCTAATGCTTTGTCCTTGGGTTTCATTCAGGGGTGGTAAATCCCAATGGGGGAGTGGGGTAGGTGGGGTGGGGTGGGGATAGGAAGCGCTGGTGGCAGCCCACAAAGAATCGAGCTATTAAAAAAAAAGGCTGCATCTCTGGTGCTTTGAATCTACCAGCTGCTTCATGGGAGAAAGATGGGTAGTCTCCAGTTGCAATTTACAGCCTCAGCAACCTAATAAAGGGTCACTATGAATTGGAACTGACTCAGAAGGAGTAAATAGTGAGGAGGAGCAAATTTTAAGGGAGCTCTGGTGGCCTGGTGGCAAGAAGGTTCTCTGTAATCTGAAAGAAGATGCAGTTCTAATCCACCAGTTGCTCTGCAGGAGAAGGGTGGGCAGTCTCTTCACTGCCTCTGAAAACCCACTGAGGATTCAGCTATGGGTTGGGTCTGAGTTGAGAGTACACAACAACCACAGTAAGTCTTAAAGGGAGGAGTGCGCCTTATCTATCTCTCTCCTGCAAAGTGGCTAGTGGCTTCGAGTTCTTTTTTAGGGTGCAATAAACACCCTATGGACTACATCACCAGAGAAACAGCCTCTTAACAGTTGTGTTCTTGTCCACACAAGACTGATCTTAAAATACAGAGTGTCACTTCCTACTCACATAGGATCCAGTACAAAATGCTAACTAGGCTCCTGCCTGCTGTCCAGAGGAATTTCCGGTGACGCTTCTGGCCAGGCCTTCTCTACAACTTGGCCACAAATGGTGTTTAATTAATTGAAACAGGAAGTACCTTTTCCTCTCCTATACATTCTTTTGCCTAGAGTGCCTCGTCTTTTATCTAGCCATGCTCCCTCTTTGTACTTTCATTCCTTCTTTAAAAAAAAATCTGTTTATCTGTGATTGATCCACAGGCGAGGGGCTTTATCTATTATGCCTGGCACTTCCTAGGTAACTCAGTAAGTATCTGTCGAAAGATTTAATCATCATAATATACTGAGATTGTCTATTTTTCTTTGTTTCTTTCCTAAACAAGGCTAATTCCTTTGCAGGAGGACTTGAGTCTTATTTTTTGTAGTGTTGTGTAGGTATTTATAAATGCCCGTTTAAAAACCAAAATGATATAAAACTGTATGAAGAGTAATAAATTTGGAATGAAAGTTTGAAAGATTTTAACTCATGGGTTTAATAATTAATTGAACTTATTTCTGGCTCTGAGAGTTTAAGTTGGTTTCAATTATATGGAAAAACATGACTGAAGATAATTAAGGAAAGTAATGCTTTCTCTTGACAAGGGGCAGCTATTTAATAATACATAACCTTTTTTTTTGCCTCAAATTTATAATCACGGGGAAAAAAATTACTGCTTAAGACAAGTAGTTAGCACTGCCAAATGAGCAAATGCCAATTTCCTAGAACACTGAAGAAAAATTCGATCTGGAAGCTCATGTAGTGTAACTTTGGTAGAATTCTGGATCTCGCTCAAGTCCTCTCATCTCAGGAATAATATTGAGTTAGCAAGGTACCAGTGACAGAAAGTAATGTTTGTTGTTGTTTTTAGGTGCCGTTGAGTTGACTGTAGCTCATAACAGCTCGTCGAAGCTTGCCCTGTCCCGCACCATCCTTACAATCTCTTGAGCCTATTGCTAACAGTCACTGTGTCAACCCCTCTGGTTAAGTCTGTACACCAAACAAAATTCCAGAGGGGGTAGATGAATAAAGAGTTATTCCATTAGTAAGTATGACCTTTATGTTCAGCCTTGGCTCACCATTTAGTAGTTTTTCTGAAATGGATTTTCTTATTTACAAAATAGGGCATAGGGTAAGAATACCTACTTCAAAGGAAAGTTTTAGGGGAAAAAAAACAAGTCAACAAGACAAAAAAGATAATGTTTGTGACCATGGTGAGCACAAAGGATAAGATGGAATCTCTGCTGTCCTGAAGTTTCTATTCTAGACAGAGTCCAGTCAAGGTTATAACGTGTAATGGGCAACACTTCTGTGGGAATACTGTAGAGGTAGTTAAAATTTAAATTTAAAAATCAGTTTATGCTTTAGTTGTCAAAGAAATGCGAGTGTGTTGAGTTTAAAGTCAATCCCAGGAAATCTTTATATAAACTTACGAAGGAGCAATATCCAGATGGTTGATGCTAAATCCAGAGGAGGCAAAGCCTCCTAACGTTGTTGATATTGTTAGGAACACAATAGCCAGCGAATAATCACAGCCAATAAGTCCAGCAGCTACCAGGAATACTGCAGGTCCAATCATCCCTGGAGATTAAAAAATTAGGAAAAAGGGGAAAAAGATGACTCAGTGTGAGTATTTGCTTGCTCTACTTTAGCATAAATCTGAAATTTGATGTTACTGCCACCTACTGTAAGAACACTGTACTGCCCAGAAAAAAGCAAAAATTATGTAGAAATTAATGAAAAAAAAAATCTAGGAAAGATATGGGCACGATGCAACTCATATAAAAATAAAAGGAGGCGAACTCTGGTGGCCTAGTGGCAAGAAGCTGCACTGCAACCCAAGAGATGCACGGTTGGAATCCACCATATGCTCTGCTGGGGAAGGAGGAACAATCTCCTCTTGTACCAGTCAGATCTGATTTGACGGTACACACATAAAAAAAAATAATAATAAAAATTAAAAAAATAAATAAAAGGAAAATGTCATTATATAATTCTACTAAAATATATATATATATCTCATCAGGATAAAGTTCTACAGTATTGGGGGGGGGGGAACAAACCAAGAAGACAGTATCTGAAAAACAGAAGCAATAGCTGACAGAGTGTGATTTAAAATTCACACATAACCTCAACAAAAAAAGAGTAAACAATCTTATCACAAAATGGGCACAGGATATGACTAGACACCTCACCATAGAATACATTCTAATGGCACACAAACATGAAGAAATGTACAAAATCCCTAGCCATTAGAGAGATGCAAATCAAAACAACTATGAGATAACATCTCACCTCAAGCAACAGTAGCAAAGTTCAACAGGGCAGCCAACAACAAACACTTGTTTGTGAGGTTGTGGAGAGACTGAAACTCTCATTTACTGCTGGTAGGAGTGTAAAATGGTATAACCACTATGGAAGGCCATCTGGCGCTTTCTCAAAAAGTTGGAAAATAGACATACCATTTGATCCAGCAACTCCATTACTGGGGATAAACCCTAAAGAAATCAGAGCTATGATTCAAACAGATGTATGTACACTCATGTTTATTGCTGCAATATTCACAACAGCAAAGAGATGATAGCAACCCAAGTGCCCATCAACAAACAAATGGCTAGAAAAAGTATGGTATATTCACACAATGGAATATTATGCAGCACTGAAAAACAACCAACGGTCTCATAGAACATCACACAACCTAGGGGAGCCTGTGGAACATTATACTGGGTGAAATATCTCAGTAACAGAAGAACAAATACAGTACGTAACAGCAGTGTTATAAGACAGACAGAAGGGGTGGGCAAAGAATGGGAAAAAGGGTGGATAGATAACAAACACTGCAGTAGAATAGATGAGTGGAAAAACTGTCTGAAAGGAATATATGACATACAGCAACAATCTGGAACAAGGGATGCATTGCTGGGTGGGCTGGGGGACAAGTGGAGAAGAAAATATGCAACAAAATAAAAAAGGAAAAAAACTGTTGTTGTTGTTATGTGCCATCGAGTCACTTGCGACTCATAGCAACCCAATGGACAACAGCTCTGAACCCTGCTCTATCCTGAGCCACCCTTGTTGTAAAAATATGGAACATTTCATGGAAAAAAAAATCATAAATAAAAAAGAGTTAACTGTGGAAGGGGAAAGAAAGGGGGAAAGAAGAAAATGCACCACAAGGAGTGAATGAAAATCCAATTTTTCTGTAAACTTTTGTTAAAATCACAATAAAATAAAGTTTAAAACAATTCACACATAACCAAAGAACACAAATTAAACTCAGCTAGATATAATGACAAAACCATGGATCTCTATTGTGCATACCAACAATATGCACAATTTATTAGACATTTAAGTATAAAATATGTTATAAAGAAAGGGATTTAATACTCACTATACCTCCTTCTTATAAAGTATGCTGTCAGTTTCCCCTATCCATAACAGAGTATCAGTAGTGCCCTGTGATGGAAATGTGCATGTACCTGCACGCTACTGAGCACTAGCAATAAGGCCAGGGCAAGTGAGGAACTGATTTTTAAATTTCAATTAATTTAAATTTAAATACAGATAGCTCCTGGTTTGTTTTTTTTGTTTGTTTGTTTGTTGTTGTGTACTGCTTTTGGGAATTGCAGAGCAGCTTCTTGCCACTTAGGATATATTAAAATTGGGGTTTTTTGAGAGTCAGGGGTCCAGTGGGTATACATCTTACTGTTAGTAATGCAATGAAAGGACTGTTGTTGTTGTTAGGTGCCAGTAAGTCGAGTACCCTATGGACAGCAGATCTGAATCCTGTTCTATACTGTGCCATCGCCACCATTTCTGACACACTTGAGTCCATTGCTGCTGTCACTGTCAGTTCATCTCTTTGAGGGTGTAACTTTCTTTAGCTGACAGTACCTTTCTAAGCATGATGCCACTGGTGTTTCAAATGAAAGAATTATCTGAAGGTCCCCCCCCCCCAACTAAATCTGGCGCTTCAGTTTGCCTGAAAACAGAGACCCAAACACCGATAATTTTGCTAAAGTCAGCAAGCAGATTTGAGAAGCAACAATATGCTATAATGAAATATATGGAGATAAAAAAATAATAAACAGTTGTCACTAATTTTCTAACAAGAAACATCACCCTCGTTCTCAAGGATAATCCAGATGACTATCCTTTTAAAAGCAGAGCTATTACTGCAACTGACAAAATGCCAATGTTGTCCAACTCTTCTTAATTATCTGTGTAAATCTATGTATTAAAATGCTGGCAAGGCTATGAAGAGACTAGAACTCTCAGTCACTGCTGGTGGGAATGTAAAATGGTACAACCACCAGATAAGGCAATCTGGCACTTTCTAATGAGATTAGAAGTAGCACCTATCTCACTAGTGGGAATATACCCTAAAGAAACCAGAGCCATGAAGCAAACAGATGTATGCACACCCAAGTTTATTTCTGCATTATTCACAATTGTCAATAGATGGAAATAGCTCAACTGCCTGTCAACAAATACAAAAACTGCAGTACAACCACAGAGTGGAATATCATATATCATTGAAAAGCAACAAACTTTTAAAGCATTACACAATATAGGTGAGTCTGGAAGGCATAATGCGGAGTGAAATATCTAAGTCACAAAAAGGACAAATACTGCATAAGACTGCAATTATAAAATAAGATTGACACAGGGAGCGGTGTGTGAGAACAGGAAGAGTGGATAGATAATGAATGCTGCACTGGAACAGATGAGAGGAAGGACTGAAATGAATGTTTGATTAGGTATTATATTATGACAATCGGAAACAAGAGGTACATAACAAAGTGAATTGCAGGTGGGATGGGAGGAGAAAAGAGGAAACTGCATCAATGAATGAATGAAAAGTTTTAATGAAATGTAAATTTTTGTTAAAATAACAATTTAAAAAAGAGAGAAAGTATGGCAAGAATAGGGAAAAAATTCGTAATTTTATATATAATGTTTCCAACCTTCAAAGACAAAGATTAAATTTCTAAATACTGTTAATAATAAAAATAAAATATAATAATAATAATAATAATAATAATAATAAATATGATAGTTTATGTCAGAATCAACTTACAACAGAGTTACTGGAAGACATGGTTAATATTGTGATAAAGTAATCCCATAAGAAACCAGAAAAGAGGCAAACTCTGGTGGCCTAGTGGCAAGAAGCTGCACTGCAATCCCAGAGGTGAGCAGTTCAATTCTACCAGATGTTTTGCTGAAGAAGGAGGGACAATCTTCTCCTGTACCTGTCAGATCTGATTTGATGGTACACACACACAAAATAATAAAAAAGTAAAAAAAAAAAAAAAGAAAAAAGTAGAAAAGACAAAGAAAGTGGAACTGAAATCAAAAGAGATGTATGTAAACCCAGAAGCACTAGATGCCGCCTTGTTATGACTACTGACTGCTCTGAAAGGAATTACAGTTTTGGGTCCTGGATAGTATGGGAGAAAATTGTGGAACAAAATAAAAATAATTTTAAAAGAAAAACTAGGCCCACTAATCTGAGACTGAATGTAACTCCCAAAACTATGGCCCTCAGTCACTCTGCAGGCCTGGAATTGAGCTCCTTAGAGCCTGACTTTGGACAGCCTTACAAGGTGACTAACAACAGCAGGAGACAGGTACTCTTTAGAACAAATGATGAGAACTGTTGAAGATAAAAAGGGCAATGCTGACCTGAGAATAAAACTCAGAGGGCAGGAGGGTTAGGGAAGAATTGGAATGAAAATGGTAAATACAGGGGCGAAGTGGGAAGGATTTTCTGTTGCATTTTGAGGATTTCAATCAATGTCATGAAACAATGTCTGAGCTGTTGGATGAAAAACCAATTTGTTCTATAAATTTTCACTTAAATTACAGTAAGAAATTACACACACAAGAGATCATTTGCAAATGTAGGAAAAAAAAATCTTGAGAGTCAATTTAATTAAGCAATGAACCAAGACAGCATCTACCAGTGGTTAGGAGCATATGCATGTAATGATAAGCGTTCAGGTCTTTCGTTCATAGGGTCACTATGAGTTGTCTACGACTCGACTGCACTTAACAACAACAACAACAACAACAACAACAACAACGACATAGTGTGGAAAGTAGGCAGGCAATGTTCCTCCACAGTCTGATAAACTGAGTGGTCAAGAGGATTAAGGATAGAATGCAAAGTGCCTTTATCCTGTGAGGCCCTGATCCCTGTAAGGGAAGTTTCATTAGTTGTGACCAGTAACGCGTTTTATCTCACAATAGAGAGGGGTGCTGGAGTGGGGTGGGGAGTGAGTCAAGAGTGTCTTCAACAGATCACTCCTCACTCCAGTTCAGAAGCAACTGAACTCTTAGCACCACTACCTGACTCACTGAACTCGTTGGTCTTGCCACTGTTGAAGATGAATAGAGCTCAGGGACCAGTGCCCCTACTACCATCACATCTGCAAAACCCTGAGTTCTTCTTTGTAGAAGAACTGAAGCCTTAACAAACAAGATTGTGGGGCAGTTTCTGTAACCAGCTTTCAAAATCAATCAATTCCTCTCAAGCCCCTTTGACATAAAACCCTTCCCTTGGCTTCATCCCATTG